GGAGCAGGAGGGAGAGAAGCCGCTCGCCCCATTCCAATTCTCACTCCAGGTCCCCTCTTTCCCCTCTCTACCCGAAAGTGCTCGTTGATTCGACCTTTCGGAGATCGCGCTCTCGAAGAAATTTTCCAATTCGCATCTCTTTTCTTCCTACCCCATCATCGTCCGTGAAGCTCATCACTGTCTGCGATGGAAATGTTGGGTTTTGTCCAAGAGTTCACGAATTCTTGTCTGCGTTTTTCCCTTTTAGCTTGTGAAGAGATGTGTTTCGAGCTAACAACGACGAATGAACATCTTGACATGGGTGTCCTTCGCATTTGTATTCATGTGTAGCAATTCTAGTTGCATCCCAAATCTTTTCCTTAATCATGTGTGTCGGAGACTATGTCAATTTTGTTGCTAGAGGCTGCTATGTTCCTCTGTGTTTTTCTTCCTAGTCTGCTAGATGATAAAGATAGAGTCTTTCTTTATGTAGAAGAAGAAGTCGGTCGAGTTCTTCGCGTCGCCGCAGGAGCCGTTCCTCGTCCTACAGGCGGCGCAAGAGTCAGTCGCCGATGCCTAGGCGGCATCGAAGACAGAGAAGTCCTAGTAGCTCGTTGTCTCCTCCCCCCAAGTCTCGCAGTCCGAGTCCTGTGCTGACAGAGCCGCCGATTGTCACTGAGAAGCTGAAGAGAGAAGAAGACGAAAAGAAAAGGTGCTTATGGCTTTGGAGATTGTTTTGCCTACTTTCATGAATTTCGATTGCAAATGCTGCCTGCATTTTCTTTCTTGATCTTATGCTGTGTCATTTAGTTTAATAATTTGTTTGTTGGGGATGGTATAAATTTCTGAGCATGTAGTCTTAGCATATGCTGCTGATATATGTCTAATAGAAGTGCAATATGGTTATATATTCCATTAACAACGGGATATTGTGAACATGTTAACTTCAAATACAGAGGAAGTATAGAAATTAGGAAAATTTACAAGTACACCACTATAAACACCTGTGCTGATAAACAAAAAAATCCTCAACAGTATTTGTATGTGAGGGAAGATGTGGAGAACAGATGCAATTAGAAAGAAGAACCTGAAAGTTGGTTGATGAATTTGCTAGTTTCGGTTGAGGCCACCATACAGTGATGGTTTCATCTCTCTAGTTGTTCATGAGGAGATAGCGATATGCATCTGCTGCTGGTATAAGCCATTAGAGCGTGCCATAACTATTTAAGTGGAGTAGTGAACACGAGGTGACAACTTAGAGGAAGCTTCCTAGTGTGAATTGCACTGAAACAATAACTTAGGCTTTTATAGCATAATTGACAATAATTTGTATGGTGATAACAAAAGAGTGGTCTTCCAAGAAAATTTTGCATTCATTCACTGTAAAAGTTGATAGTGGTTTTTTTAGGACGATTTACTACATCAAGGTGCTCAGTATGTGGTTGTTAGTAAATTTGCTGCTGTTCGTGTTTTGTAGGAATTTTGGATTGTCTCGACAGCATGCTAGGCATATGAATATGATTGTTTTTGTGTGCCACAGGTTTCTTTACGTTCTTCTGTATTGGCTAATTTGAAGGAAGCAACCCAGATTCCATCTTGTTAGCTTTGATAACGAATTGGGGCTGGTCTTCTAATTACATTGAAACTTCACGTGTGATGGACCGGAATATTTTCCAACAGGCATGCCGGTCGGCATAAGATTAATTTAGCATGTGATGTCGTATGATTTTCATGTACAAGGGTGATCCAAATATGGTTTTGCTCAGCGGAATTGCTGTTTTCTATTTGGCTATGGAAGGTTATTTTGCCTTTCCCCTGTGGCTTCTGTTACATTTTATGATGAATATGGAAATCCTTCACATTTCAATTGTTTGCATGTGCTTTCAGGCTTCAACATGAGGCAGAATTGAAGTTGTTGGAGGAGGAAACTGCTAAAAGACTGGAGGAAGAGATTCGGAAAAATGTAGAGGAGAAGTTGAACTCTGAGGAAGTTAAGTTAGAAATAGAGAGGCGGACAGAAGAAGCTCGGAAGAAATTGTTTGGAGACGTTGCAGCTCAACTTGAAAAAGAAAAGGAAGCTGCTTTAATGGAGGCTAGACAAAAGGAAGTAAGGATATCGGACATTTCACAGATACTGACCTTTCTGATTTCCGTCGAGTGGCTACTGAAAGTTTGTCTCGTCAGCTTTGTTTTTATTTTGTATGGGTCATCCACCTAATAGACAAAACTCTGATATCCATTTGAGAAACAGGACAGAAAAACACCTGAATCATAATCTAGCCACAAAGATTTTTTGCTTGGGATTTTCTTTGTTTTCTGTGTGCACGCACATGCTTTTTTTTGTCGGTTTCCTTAAGCTTTGTCGTCTCAAACTTCTGCAAGTTTAAGTTTTGAAGAAAGCTATATCCTTTTACAAAAGAAATGGCGTGGCCGGAAAATTCTCTTAGTCAGGGACGGCTCAGGAACTGTAGCTGTAAACACGGATTCCTTTTGCTCATGAGAAGAAGTGGGTCAATGGCAGGTGTGATGACTCTACAGATTTACTGATAAAACGTTTTTCTGATTGTCATGGTGGTGGTGTTCTCAATTTTTGCTAGTGAGGTTGTGAATTTGAGATTCACTGAAATAAGAATTGGCTAAACTTTACCGTAAGCGTTATACGTGAATGCATTAGGACATTTTTATATGGCACGACCATTAGGACTGTTAGTCATCATAAACATCGAAGGGATGCTTGTTTCCTTTTCATGGCTGTGATTAGTGTAATGGCGACCTTTAGTATTTTCCGACTCTCCTCCTGGGTGTGGTTCCTGGACCTGCTATACCAAATTGAGTTGAACGAGAAACCATACAGATTAAAAGGGGTGGGAAAGGCACTCAATCCTGACAACGAATAAGTAAAACAAATGAACTAATGAGACTTTTTTGTCCTGCTCTATTAATTTTCGTTTATGCGTCATGTGCTAACCATCAAGTAGTGATGGTTTTATTTTGCTTGGCAACTTGCCCAGGAACAAGCTCGTAAAGAGAGAGAGGAGCTGGACCGGATGCTAGAAGAGAACAAGAGGAGGGTGGAAGAGTCACAGAGAAGGGAGGCTTTGGAGCAACAACGGAAGGAGGAGGAGCGTCATCGTGAATTGGAGCTAATTCAAAGGCAAAAGGAAGAAGCTGCTCGAAGGAAAAAGCTGGAAGAGGAAGAAGAACGAGCGAAGCAAATGAACTCGTCTGGTAAAAACAAGTCGCGGCCGAAAGTGTCGTTCGGTTCGTGAGCGTCATTCTCATGTTTGTGCAACTCCTTTATATATTGGGATGATGACCCTTAACCAGAACTAGCAGTATGGAAGTCGCTGCCTATCTGCCCCGTCAGGTCCTTTAATATTAAAAAGTGCCCTTTGTATTTGGCATAGGAGAAACATTTCACTTCATCTTCTGCCATTCGGCTTAGACGAAGAGATTTGATAATCTTCCGAGTTATTTTTGTACCATCTTCATCTTAGAGGTTATATATGTATTATCTCTCGCAAAAAGTTTTAATTCGATTTCACATGGTTTTCATTGTAAGCTTGGTCGTATCCTAATGTCTTACTTTTCTCTGCAAACAATACTCGATCAAACATAATCTTCCCATTCCCTGTTCCATGGATTTGGACTCCCTGGAACAACTTGTTTGGCTACTGTAATGCATAGCAGATATGTGTAGATCAAGGCAATGCACGAGTGAAATATTATACTTCCTCGCTTTCAAACGATATAGTCCTCTGTTAGCATTGTACTATTTTCAAGAAAATGGAAGAATGATGGAACGATCTAATTGCTTCACTGTGATCATGGTACAACTATGGCTCATATCATATCAGAGAAAATCGAGCTTAATATCATTATCACAAAGCTAGATACAAATCCAATCACGTAGAAGATACCCACATGAATGGTTAACAAGGATATCTTCAAATCTCCACAATAATATCTTAGAAAGATATCTTTAACAGAACGCTATCAGCTAATAGAGAATGCAAATGGTGTGTTTTCGAAACCTTGAGATCTCAACTCTCTTAAGATCACAATAATCATGCGTGCATGCTAAAAGACAATTTAACAGCATATTCTTACGTCAAATGCTACGAAAATAGCACTGGAATCGACCTACTTAATTTTTTTTTCCCAATAATTGGTGATTGTTACAGAAGCGATTGAAGCAGTCGAATTCTCTACTTAAAAGAGATTTCTGCATTTGCCGTTGGGCAAAATGGGGTTACAATATTTCTACGGCAAGATCAACAATGTGTAAACTGGGGGGGAACCATCGTCCAAGTGAGGTGCATAAAATTAATTTTCTCCGGATTGAAAAGTTTAGTCAAATTTAGCTGAGCTATACGGACCGATGATTTGGTCGGAAGAAGGTCGTGGAACGTCCATTGCTGAACTCATCAAAACCTATATAATATCATGGCCAAGTTCATATATATTAATAGCATTCGTCAAAGTGGTAGTAACTAGTAACCTAAGTAAGGAATGAAGCTATATTATATATCATATCATGTTCGAAAGGACCCAAATTTATCGCCAGAAACCGAAGGGAGGTCCTAATAGACAAGCCCTTTGCATAGCCAACACGTATCGCAAAAACCAAATAAGCCCTACTTGAGTTAGTCCACCCACCACCACCACCACCTTTCCCTTATCATTGTTCTATCATGTTAAGATGACATGTATTGTTTTATCATACTATTCTAATAATACGCACACATGCATGTACACGAGACACATATGGTTCAATTGCTGACATACATACATATGTACGTAAATATATAAATATATATACATATGTATGTATAAAGTATCCAACAATGATAAAGACACGATGAAGAGGACATAAAGCAGAAGGGAGTCCACCAAGCCGAGAAAGAGAAGCGTGAGGGAATGATGATACTTGGCTCACAAAAATTGTTTTGATCTCATTTTCCTCAACCACCACGCAAGAAAGACCCGGCAATAGCTGCGATTATAAGGGCGATATCTCAACTTCCATTGAAGTTGGTACATCTCTCAATAGTGTCCACTTGTACTTTGCACCCTGGATCACAATCTTTTCAAGTGTTAATCATCCTCCAATCGCTCCCTCTTCTACTCCTTCTTCTTCAATTCCTAGATCCTTATTCTCTCCTCCATTTTCGATGGAAACGTTCTTTTAACACGTTTAGTTCCATCGTATCTCTCATCTGGCAACTCAATATACATAAGACCATCTTGAACTGCACACCCTTTATATATAGCTTGCACCAAAACCTTTCATCACCAACCGCCTACCTCTTTCATTCTCACTCTCCCTTTGGAGTCCTGCAAAATCCAGCCATGGCTTCATTGAATTCGATTCTATCTTCTGTGCTCCTAGTTTTAACCATAGTTGCTTCCCTTGCGTCACCGTCTTTCTCGACATCGAGAGGAGCCCTCGAGAACAAGGAAGCTAAGCAAATTGGATTTAGGGTGACCCTAAAGCATGTGGATCATGGGAAGAACTTCACCAAGTTCGAGCGTCTACAGCGTGCGATGAAGCGTGGAAAAAGTCGCTTACAAAGGCTAAATGCCATGGTTTTGGCGGCTGAGGATAACACCGAATTGGAGTCTCCGGTCCATGCGGGGAATGGAGAATTTCTCATGCAATTGTCGATGGGCACACCCCCGTATAGTTTCTCGGCGATCGTCGACACGGGGAGCGATCTTATATGGACTCAGTGCAAGCCATGCAGGCAATGTTTCGATCAGTCAACGCCGATTTTTGACCCGAAGAAGTCCTCCACCTTCTCCAAGCTCACGTGCACCAGCCAACTTTGCGAGGTGCTACCAACTTCGTCATGCGGCAGCGACGGGTGCGAGTACTTATATACCTACGGCGATTACTCTTCAACACAAGGTATTCTAGCCTCAGAGACTTTCACGTTCGCCGATTCGGTTTCTATCCCCAAAGTCGGGTTCGGGTGCGGCGAGGACAATGAGGGAAGCGGGTTCGACCAGGGCGCGGGCCTAGTTGGCCTAGGGCGCGGCCCCTTGTCCTTGGTCTCACAACTTGGTGTGCCCAAATTCTCTTATTGCTTGACATCAATTGACGACACTAAAACAAGCAAGCTCTTGATGGGAAGTGAAGCAACCGGTGGGAACCTCTCAACAAGTGCAATGAAAACGACCCCATTACTCAAGAACCCATCACAACCTTCCTTTTACTATCTTTCTCTTGAAGGCATCTCTGTAGGTGACACTCTCTTGCCCATCAAGAAATCCACTTTTGCCTTGCAAAGTGATGGGAGCGGCGGCCTAATAATAGACTCGGGCACAACCATCACATACATTGAGGAGAGTGCTTTTGATTTGGTTAAAAAGGAGTTCAAGTCCCAAACCAAGCTCACCGTGGATGACTCGGGCTCGACGGGGCTCGACCTTTGCTTCAAGCTGCCCTCGGACACAAGCCAGGTTGAGGTGCCGAAGCTGATCTTCCACTTCGAAGGGACGGATCTGGATCTGCCGGGGGAGAACTACATGATCGCAGATTCGACCGTGGGATTGGTTTGCTTGGCCATGGGGAGTTCAAATGGCATGTCCATCTTTGGGAACGTCCAGCAACAGAACACGTTGGTAATCCATGATCTCGAGAAGGAAACTCTGTCGTTCCATCCCACGAAATGCGACAAATTGTGAGTCGTGATATGTGTGTAATCAATTGCTTGCATTATACTTATGTTTGTTTGCGCTGCTCCGATTACATTTGGTGGTACGACTTTTTTTATGATTGCTAATCAATTAGTCAGTCAATAAAAGAACATTTTTCTCACTAATGGTGTAAGCATATTGTGGCGTGCCTATGGTTTTATATTTGGATGGACTATGATTATGAGTGCGGTTGGTAATTTGGTAAGCTTCCCAAGGAAAGTTCGTCTTCTATGATTTCCAAATTGATTTAAGTCTAAGGTTCAATTCTTGACCTGTGGAGTGTAACTTAAGGTTGCTCACCTGCCGCAAGACCTTGTCTCTCTATCAATTACGTCATATGTCAATATCACTTCCGGCTTTAGATTAAAGAAGCGATTTGATAAACCTACCGAGAAAATTTTGTATCGTAGGAATGTGGCCATAATGCTAGACTCCCACACACAAACCCTAATCTATGTGAAATGAAACATGTCGAGATATAATAAGATGTCGGATGATTATCTAATGTCCAAAGACATGTAGATTTGAGTAGAATACGTACATTGATTATTTAAGTTAAATCTTTTTCTTACTATACTTTAATCAACCTTGTGAACTAGTGTCATTAGTGATAATCACTGACTTGATAAATCGTTAAAATTATCTTGCCTCGGCCAAATTTCGTGAGTTGTTTTTCTTTTGGGGGTACGGTATGGAGTTTATATAGCTTTCACTTTGGAGATATCAAAATCAATAAAGACACGGAACAATGGATTATATCAAATTACCAGCTCATCAAATAAAACTTCGTTGTTATTTGGTCCATTGTTCCACTCTTCAACAACATGAAAATACCAAAAGCTCTACCCTCCTTTTCTATCTATCCAAGAGATGCCCCAGCTAGCCCGTCGCCACTAACTCGGGCCGGTGTTTTAGTCACCCTTCGATGGCTTACTTACTGTTGTGCGATGGGTTTCTTGCCCCCGCACCTGCTGCCTCCCGGCCCGTCTAACGCTACTTCTTAATTGATTAATACCCAAGGAAAAACCCCAATTCTGAGATCTTTTATTTCCCACTTCACATCTCGGAATGCACCTTTATTATAGAGGCTAAGGCACTTCTCCTTTGACTTCCTCTTCCACAGATTTATTCACGAAATTCAAGACAAAGAAATAAAAAATAGTTTCATACAAAATCGTGGTTGACCCCGACTAGGTGACCTGGGCACCTTTTATCCCAAAAGGGTCGGAAAGGCTATGCAGGCATACAAATAACATATATAGACTTTCTTTGAACATGGAAAAATTACGACCCCAGCTATACCTATCTACGACTACAATATGTTTGTCACCTAATAACCACCAGTAAGATGTTAAAGAATCCAGTTATCGATGAGTTATTTGAAAAGTGAAATTTCAAAATAATTCCACATAAAAAGAACAATTGTTTATCGAATTGAAGTTCAAACTTGAGTTGGGTTCGATTTTGCTAATATATTATCCAGATAAGATCATGTGAAATAGAGAACTGTATAATTAGTGTTTATTTCATAATCAAGAGTACATAAGATATTTATACGCTTCACAAGATGACTATCTAACACATCCAAAAACAGTCTAACTAAATTCTTCGTTATTTGGCAAAGCAAATTGATACGCTTATATTGGACATTAATTTGGACATAAATCCTCCATCTCGCACACCGCTCCAGCTGATGTCTCAACCTATTTCAACCGATGAAACTATATATGGAGAAACCGGAGGGATTTTGTCCCTAGGGTTCATTTGAAACAACGCTGGAATAGTTCTGAGACGGTAGGCTTGGCAAGACGCCATAATGGCATATTCATGTCCCCTTACCCTAGGAAATCAACTAAACCAGCCTCTCTAAATGATAAAGAACAGGGAAACGAGCCATAAATTAGGTCGTAACAGGCTAAAACAGTGAGCTTGCCCTCGAAATGTGAATGATCTGTAGTTCTTCCGAGTCAAAATTAGTTCTGGACGATGAAAAAAAGGAAGAACACATTCTCGTTATGGGCCAGCTTAGTTGTGTTCCCGGTTGAGTATATAGGATCAGTAAAAGTCAGTCAGTCGCTCTCCAATAGTGGAGTAGTCCTACCCGGTAGTAGCACAGTGAAAGTAGGGCTGCTTTAGCCTTTTACAGATCCGGTGGTACCATATTATAGAGAAATGGCCGCTGCATTGAGCTTACTGAGTGTATCAGGTGCCCAACCATTCTAAGCCCAGGTGGTCCGTTAGCAATATCTTAATTTGTCTCATATTGTTAATTACACCAGAGGTCTCGCTTTAATTTCATCAATTTTCCTGTTTTTTTCCAGCCCTTTTTCAAGGTTAGCTGACCTTGATCTTAAAACGACAATCACCTCTTAGCATGCGTGCGTGGTTTCTTTTTTATTTTGTTCCCTATTGTTAGTAATTTACGACGAAAGTATTCATAGTCAATGCTTATACCTGTTTGAGATTACATATATTCTCTTATCAGCGAATACATTGTCAGCTCTTATACCATTTTCTTGTGACTCTTTTATAGGGACATTCCTGACAAACAAAAGCCAGATCTAACTCAAGTTTTCACCTAAAACGCAAGAAGAATACGTATGCTAGTTCATGGTATTTGTCAATATACCCCACAAATACATCGTAACACACAGGATATCTGTTAGACAAAGTATACTAATCGAAATAACATGAATTTGATAAATGAGCAAGTCAAATGAAATCTGGGTAGGCTAAGGATGGTCCCCAAACCAAGCTTAAAGTGATATGGTGCTTGTGGATGTCAAATCTTGAATATTCGCTCTCTCACTGGTCCGACCCAGAAAACGAGTGACTGAAGTGAGGGAGAGGTACTGGTTTTGCAATCGACGAATTGACAGGAGCCTCATTTCGTGGCTTACATGAAAGTCTCCTGATGATTAGCCCTTATCTTCAGAACCGAAAGTACACTGGAGTTGACACCAAGAGAAAATCCTCTCTTTCTGGCCTCACTGAGAATGCGTGTCATTCGTTCAAGCCTAGATTCAAAATGGTCTTCTTCTTCTTCTTTTTCTTTTTGTGGTTAGATGATCTTTGGAACCAGAAACGGAGACAGATATTTTCGTCCTTTCCGATCTGATTCTGATATTCAAGAGAGAAAAAGTGGGTCTTAGTACCAAACTGATGATGGGTAAGACTTTGACGGACCAATGCTTGTGTATCATTCTTTATAGATTTCAGCCAACGACGTCTTGCACAATATATGGATGGCATAGTCATAGGCACATATTGAGGAAGTGGGATTTAACTCTAGTAAAGTATGCATGATGATCCATTGAATGACAGCTTTCTAGGTGCACCAAAAAGAGCGCACCCAACGCATCGTCGCCCTTCGAGTTAGGCTTCACGTGAGATCCCTACTTTTCTAAGGGTTAAGTATGCATCGGGCGAAATCCCTTTCATAAATTTGACACATGGACACTTACTAATCATCATCCTTTTTTTTCTTCATATATTCTAATCACACATGCGTTGGAATCCGTCATTGGCTCCTTTACATGGATACTAACCACATACAAATTCTTACTTTTCAACATTACAAAGTACAAACTATATAGAGAAGTTACTAAATCGAGATAGATTAATACTACTCTTCATCACGAAAAAGACGCTAATCTCAATGAAAATTACTTGTCATGGATAAGTACAGACACGCCTTTTCGCAAAGAAAAAGTTATTGACAACAATTTTAATGAATGTAAGTGAATACTCACTTCTTTATATAAAAGGTTATCAACCGCATGAATAAGTTATTAATAATTATAAATAGGCTGAAGGGTATTTTCTTGTTAATGTCATTGAAATAGTATTCCTAGTTACTAATTCATGCATACTTCCTTTAGTAACATGAAAGATACTAGCCAAGGTGAAGAACTTACATTAATCTAATCACTTAATATATGGACCATTGGCATATGGACGTGTATCTTAAAATTAAATAACATAATTATCGATAATTCTATTTATTCAACAGCTTTTCTTATCAAACCATAAGTTGTGCCATAGAGGAAAATTACCAAAAAAGTCTTAAACCTATTGTAATTGTGCAAATTCAGTCATAAACTTTTTAATTATGCCAATTGAATCTTAAACATTTTTACGTTTTCCCAATTGAGTCCATCCGGCCAATTTTGGTCGAAATCACTAGCGCGGACACTAATCGTCCTATGTGACATGGCCATCCCGGTCGGCATTGACGTGGATATTTTTTTATAATATTTTGATTTTTTTAAATATTTTTTTTCTTTTCTTTTCTTTGCTTTTTTCCTTTTTTTCCTGGACTTAGGGCCGACAAAGGTCATCGGCCGGCCCTTGTCGGCACTGGGCGAGAGCGTGACCATTGTGGACCTTCCTTAGATCCAGCGAGGCCGTGATGCCCTCGCTCCAGCGAGGGCATCACGGCCCTAGCCTAGAACTGGCTGGCCCTTGTCGGCCTTAAATGTAAGGAAAAAAAGAAAAAGAAAAAGAAAAGAAAAGAAAAAATTATAAAGAATTGAAAATATTATTAAAAAGAATATTCACATCAGCGCTGACAGTGCCACGTAGAACTTCAGGTGTCCACGTTAGTGATTTTCAGCCAAAATTAACTGGATGGCTCAATTGGCAAAACGTGAAAATGTCTTGTACTCAATTGACACAATTGCAATAAGTTTAGAATTTTTTTTTATAATTCTCTCCTATTTTGGTGTATGAAACGAATAAGCAAGAGCAACTTTTTGTGGCACAAAATAGCGGGAGTCGGTATATGTCAGAGCAGAATTTGTAAAAGAACCCTTTTTGCCTCCTCCCATAATAATAATAAAAGAAAAGAAGAAGAGTAAATTAGATCCCACGAGATCGGACCTTGCACCAATTGCAAGAAGGCCGGTCAATTTTTGCGAAATTGTTTGGCACCGACCCATATACACACTCACGCCCCAAAAAAAGATAGAAGAATATAACTTATTCATGATTAGATTTTATTCTTTGCATCTCTTTGATTGGTTATTTTGTGAAGTAAATATATATTGTGTTGTTATGAAGCAAATTCAACACCACTTTCAATCTCAAATTTTGGCCTAAATAATGTTTTTGGTCAATATC